TGAACTCCAACGCTTGTACATCTGTACTGACAGAAAAACAGAGTTAACGGGCATGCAACATGCCTGTTAGGAACTATCATCTATTGGCATGAAATTCTGAAAGAAAAGCCTTACTTTGTCTGTTTCTTCAGCATCATAGCGATCAGGGAACAAAGCTTTGTTGTGTCCCTCCTTATCAATCTCTCGCTCTTCAAGGTAAAACTGCCACTTGGCCTCAAAGTAGAACCAGTTTTCCTGATACTCTGCATTAGAATACACATTCACACATCAACTTTCACAGACATTTGTGCACATATTAAATGCTTTTTCTTTCATACCACAGACAGGCCCGGCCTAACCTGCCATGTGCCGTATGGTTTTCCTGCAGTACTCCGCAGCTCGTGGGATGACCTTCAAGAGCTCACGACCCCATGTCACAAGAGGTTTTCCCTGGATGGCGTAGGATGCAAATAGTGCCGTTGTCAGGGAACCTAGAAAGCCTGAAGCCACAAATGAGATCACAAGACACTTCGCCTGATCAGTCTGCTGATAGCTCAGGCTCACCAGTTACATCCATAATAAATTTGTGTTCTTGCTGCTAAAATAGAAATACTACGCAGTCAAACAGCAGCTTAATTATCTGCCTGTGACAGATTTCTTAGGATTAGAAGCTGTTAACATCGTCACCTGTAGGGTGGTTGTGAGTCATTCTTCCAGCTTCAATGCTGACCTCCACCAAGCTATCTAATCTCTCTGGTTGCCAGTATCTCATGCCCACACACATGGCCTTGGAAGCTGCACCGAACCCAGACCCTGAACATGGAGACATGTATCCAGATACACGTTTCTGTACTGTATCAACCACTGTGGTCAGAAGTTTACGTACATAAGCTCATCATGGGTATGAATGTCATGGTACTTTGAGGCTTTTAAGGATTTCTTTGAACTGTTCTTTGTCCAAGGTCAAATGATTGTACAGCATGTTTACTAACTTTAAAAAAAAACTGGGTGCACAAGTTTGGACAAAAACCAAAATAAATTCAATCTACACAGGGTCAAATATATATAAATACACCCCCACTAATATTTTGTTAAGTGTCCCTTAGCGAGTTGCATCTCAACAAGTTTTTGGCAGCCGTCAACAAACTTCTGGCATATTTGTGTCTGAATATTTGACCACTCTTATTGGCAGAATTCATTTAACTGTGCAAGATGTTGATTTTAGGTGAAGTTGAAGAATTTGGAGGTAGTTCTCCTTCGTTCATCCACTTTGTGCAATGTACTATTATTCCTGGGAGGAACAGCTCCAGAGCATGATGCTACCACCACCATGCCTGACAGTTGGTACAGTGTTCTTACATTTGTCCTTGTCATTGTGGTCAAATAAAACTTTTCTCCAGAAGAGATTTAGCTTGTCTATGTGGACAGCTGCATATTTTAGTCCAGCTTAAAGGTGTTGGTTTTGGAGAAGGCACTTCTTTCTTGGTCTGCACCCTTTCGATCACAGGCGATGTAAAACTGGCTTCGCTGTGGATGACGAAGCTGGTGTTCCAGCAGTTTTCTGTATCTGCTAGGCTCGAGCCTTGGTGGTTCCTTGTATTTACATACAGTTGCTTGAACTGATGATCCTAGATTCTGCAGTTTGTTTTAGAAATATCTCCAAGAGACCTTTTCAGCTTGTATAAATCTTCAGTTCCCCCCTTTAATATCTTCACTGAGTTCCTTGGAGTTCCCCATTGTTTTGAGTATTGGTCAATCCAGTGAGTCCTGTCAAATAAATCCTTTTTATTCTCACAAAGAGAAACTACCTGTTACAGTCAACCATGATCACTAGCAAGAAGTTAATAGACCTTGTCAAGTTTAAAGACATAAGTGAGCCTGTATGTATACTTTTGACCCTGTGTGAATTACAGAAAATAAATTCAAACTTACAGTCATTCCAACCTGGAACATTAGAACAAGAAATTATTACAAATCCATGATGACTGCATGTGAACCGTATGTGATCATGAACTCTAAAATACAATTTACATATATATATATTTAAAATCTCCAGTGACCTTTTTCATTGAAAGGTGTGTGCCAGGCAAGCAGAAAGTTGTAAGGTTTGAGATGAGCACAGTTCTCCACTGTGGCGGGATCAGGGACTCGGCCCTGGAGAGACACCACGGCTTCAACGTAGAGACGCACCAGCTCTCTGTACAGGTCCTCCAGACACCAGTAATCTGGAAACACACACACACACACACACAAACCCCCGAGTCAAAGTCATTCATGCCTGGCGTGGAAGACGAGCTGAGTGGTGCTTTGATGAGCTAAATTTAGCCTCAGCCTGCCACACTGCTGATTAGCAGCGGCGTGCATGGAGTCACTTCCACACACTATGAGGTCAACTGGGAGCCACAAGCAGAGCCCGCAGACAGTGTGCTAGAATCTGTGGACTGTACATGTGTGAGTGTGTGGATTAGAGAGTGTCCGTGTGGACAGAGAAGAACCACCTTTTAGTCAGTGATTCATAACTTGTGATGAAGGACTCAGACCTTCACTCATAAAGAAGTCTGTCCACTCCAATGCATGTGTGGAAAGAAGGTGCTGGGAAAATATGAACTATTTTCTTTCAGATTTAATTTTTACTCACTGCTTTAAAGAAGACTGTGTAATGTAATTACTTTAATGAGTAATAATTGCTGTAACATTTGCTTTTACTTTGTCCCAGTAAGTCCAGTGACAGGGCAAACACTGAGAAGCGCAGCATACATTACACTCCATGTGCTCTTATCTGGCTGCTGTGTGTATGTGTGCATAAGTGCATATGTGCAGGCATGTTGGATTGTTGCTAAATAGAGCTTGCTAATCTCAAAATATGTCATCACCATTCTTTCTCAGGACCACTGTCACTGGCTTTGAGCCGCATCTGCAGGCACACATGATACCAGCAGATTACGGAGGAGTCAGGCCTGCTATTGTTCCCAACAGCGGAGCAGAGGACAGGCTTTTCCAAAGTAGTCTATTTTGGACTCTTCTGTCCTGGAAACTTCGAGCCACGTTGCGGGAGCTCAAGAGGGCATTTGGGTGAGGGCCTGCATAGTAAGGTTCCCGTTAAGACTTTTGTCTTTGATCCCCCTGTGGCAGAGATGGATCAGGGTATGTGAGGTTTTGTCATTCAGTTTTGATTTGCCAAAACGTGATTAGCAGCTTCCTTTGCCCGTATAGAAGCAGCTATTCTGGTCCCTCTGAGCACAGAGAGATTAGAGCCAGTCTGAACAGGCCAGATGCTACGTGTCTATTTTTGCATCAAATCAGGGTTGCGTCCGTGAACACAAAAAGACGGACCATTATTGGTTTTCTGTGAAGTTGGGTGTAAAATATGTGTTTTTATCTTGATCAGAATCACAATCATAAATCCTAATTGTCATTAATCCCAAACGTACCTGTTACAAGTGCTTCTGCTGTGGTCATGTGCATCAGCGCAGCATCACTTAGGGGCCAGTTATCAGGATCCAGTTTTAGGGCCGCCAGTCCCCCCAGAGAGGCCAGTTCCTCTTGGATTATCTTTCCCGAGGTGCACCTTTCCCAACGGCCCTTTCTGTAGCCCAAGGCATCTCCTGCAGCACTTAAAACCATGGCTGCCTTGAATTTCTCCATGCTGCTTTTTGATCTGGGTCCTTTTAGGTGTACTTTACTACCTCAAAAAACAAGAAACAGATCAAACTTTCTTCCCCCAAAACATCCTAAAGAAGTTCAAAAAGCTTCTCCAGCTCTCGAGGTTTTTGTCAAAACTCCCATTTTCCTTTGTTCGTGACACATCAGAGCTCTACTGCCTTCCCCATCCTCGCAGCTCTCTTGTAGTTTCTCATTAGTTTCTAGCAGACAAACTCTTAAGGGCGGGCAAACACGAAAGCATCGTGTTATCAGCCTCAGCTTCATTGAGCTGGGCGGTGGTGAGTGATCAGGTGTCTCCTAAAAAGGCAATCCCCCCGGTACCAAAGCCGAAAAGCTGGGTGGCTTGGTGTGGAATGGTAACAGGGGCCGGACACACTGGAGAGGATGCTAATGTGCTGTGGGCTCGAGTGCAAGCTTGTCAGCTGGTGCTGGACCTTGTTGAGAATCCTCCTGTCCCATGAGAGAGGAGTAAGAGGGGAGCATCAGTGACCCCCTGATACCATATAAGCTCAAGAGCTCAACACTTTAATCCCTCCTTCAGTGTTTTAAGCATCTTTATTCATCACCTCCTCTGACATCAGCAGCTGATCTATGCTTCAGTTATGTGCACTGGTAGAGACCTGTTCTCAGTTTCTTTAATCCCTACTTGGTTGACTGCAAATTACACAAATGTGCCACACCCAACCCTTATTTACATTCATCAGCTGCCCTTATTATTATACTCAGAGTAACACTAGACAGAGCATCACCAGAAGAACAATGACCATGATGATATACAGCAGGAATGCAAGTTGATAAGAGGCAACTGTTAACAAGTAGCCATTTTACATACACTCAAACATGATGGGCAACTCGTCCTCAGCAGGAGGATGTTTTCTCCCCTCCCATTTCCTGCTGATTTTTTTTTAAAACATCTCTGAAATCACTGTGCTGGGTTTGTGTTAAGTGCAACTGGACATAAACAACTTTTATATAACACAAATGTATCATTATTATTATTATTATTATTATAAATTGGTATGTGTTGTTCAATATGAGCTGAAAGAACTTAAAAAAAAAAAAAAGTAAAACAAAGAGGCATGGGATCATTTCACAGTGGGGTCATCGGATAGTTTGTCCAGCAGAGGGCACTCCGACTCCTCTCCAGCACATTACCAATGACATAATTTTCCCTTTTTCAATAAAACTTCAATGTTCATACTTCTCAAGCATTTTGCCCATCACCATCTAGCTGTTTGAAAACTCTGAGGGGTAAATATACAAAGGTCACTGGATCAAGGCAACTGTAGTTAATTAAAACTAAACTAAAATCAGAAACTACAAATAGTTGTGAAAAAAACCCACCTTTTACAAGATTGTTAAAAACAACATGCTTTATTGACAACGTTTATCAAGAAAACAATGTTCGGTATGCTTTTGCAGCAGAAACATTACTCTGTAAATACCTGTTTTCTTGCCAGCAAAAATAACACTGTCTTAAAGACCATGACCACGTGCGACTAGAAACAGCCGATCGCACATTCGACAACTAAAAATGCACTGAATGTAACAGAACACTAAATACTGGAAGTTGTTTTGTCACTCCTGAACCACAGGTGTTAGATAACAGCCACCCTGGCTGACGGTGGCGATGCTGACAGGACGGAAACTTTGTTATTAAAGCAACATGTCTAACTTAATTACAACGGCAAACACTGTGACGCAATAATCAGCCTGGAAGTGAACCCACAATCCAGTCCCGATTTACCTTGAACTTAAAAAAAAGAAAGAAAGAAAATGATACATTCACACACATACCACCGCAGTTTATGAGTGACTGTGTTTACATAAATATGAGCATTTCCAACCAGGTTGTCAAGTTATTTCCCCCTGTAAGTAGCTGCAGATGCAAGAGAATTACTATCTTTATTTCAGCACATGGTTTAACTGAAGTGACAACACATGACAGAACCAGAACTGACAAATACAGGAAGCCGCACAGCTCACCCTGACTGAGGAGAGGGTGACGGGGACCTGAGCTCTGGTACCTTCTGCCATACTCTGGGATGTAGAGTGTTTTAGGTACACTTAAAGAGAAACAGTTAATCCTATTAATAATGATAATAATAATAATAATAATAATAATAAGCATTGCTGCACTGATCTCTTAAGTGTTAAAAGGCTCAAGTCTTCATTAAACTACAGAAAAGTGAGAAATGCTATAGCCCACTGCCACCACTAGATGGCAGCCTGAGCAGTGTTCATGTTGTCCTATGTAATAAATTCAACCAAATCTATAAAAAGCAACCTTCAGCCATGTAAACAATCAGTTAAAATACTCCTTTCTGCGATGCACAACTTCATTATAAAAACGTTAGCACGTGAGAGAAACCTACTGCCACGAAACGCGAATAACTCCGATGCTCCACACAGTGCCGTCTGATTAAATAAAAACGTATAATCCTACAACAGAAAAAGTGTACTTCAGTGCAGTTTGTAGAGGTGACAAGTCATCCTCGCCGGGATGACAGGAAAGAGTCAGGGCGCCCCTCAGCTTCTCTCTGTGTTCGTACTTTTAATCGCTGCTAAAGTCAAGACATAAAACCAACAAGTGTAATGCTGCAGCATCCCAAATGCTGCTTTTGCACCAATCACAACAAAAAAAAGTGCCACGACCTGTTTTTGCTCTTCTAAAGCTCCTTTAGAAGAGCTTCAGGCCTGAGCGAGCCACAGAAGTCACAACAAAAATCTACCGGCCTCGTCAGTCTGAATACGAGCACATTAACTGACTGCTGCACTTCTCTCTGCCATCACCTGTGAGCTCCTCAGCTCACTTGAGAATGCCCCAAACAGCAGTAACATGTTTATCTCATCAACTTCATTTCCTTTTACGATGCTTTTTTTTTTTGGTAATTCCTAATTCAGAACACAGACGTCCCTCTCTGAGCCTCTGCAGGAGGTAGAGCTATCAGGAGCAGCACAGAAAGCCTGCAGTTAGTGACAGAGACAGACGTTCAGTGGGGTTTGTGTGATGAAATGAAAGTGACACCACTGTAACAGATCGATAAAGCCTTTGTGATTCTGCTGGTGCTCAACAAACGTGCTTCTCTACCTAGATCTCTGAACACAAGATGTGGAGTTTAAGGTGAATTATTCCAGCTTTTTACATATCAACAAAACCAAAGATATGTGGGATGGTATTGTAAATAAGGCAATATGCACAGACACACACACACAAACACACTCAAGCTCACTTCCTCTGTCTGCTCTCACTGTAACTTGGAGAGCAACACATTCGCAACATCCGTGAAAATAACCTTAATAGCACCACCCCCACTCACACACACACACATCATGGCACCACTCCACACTAGCTCACAAAACATGCAGAGTTTAACTTCCAACCGACTCTCTGGCTGTCACTGTACCGAGGCTGCTGGTTAGTGAGTCCACAGGTGTGGTTTTACACCTGTCGGTGAGAAGTTTGAGCATTTACATCCTCTTCACATTGCTGTTTGTGTCAGCAAACAACAACTAAAAAAAGAAAAAAAGTTCTCTTTCTGGCTGATTCCCGTCCTGCTTTCCATTTTAAAAGTTCGGGTCTCTCCCTTTCAGAGGCATCGTATGCAGTTGGAAGAACAATCCTAATGGAAAAAGCTGCAGTCAGGCTTAATTAGAAGTAGTCTCATTTTTGGCTCGTTTGTATCAAAAACCTCATTCAGGAAAAGAAAACAGGAAGAAATGCGAAACTCAATCCGCTGCATGAAGCCGGGACAAACATTATGTCACGTTGCGTTTGGTCCCCATCACAATCGGCCGAGCAAATTCCACAAAGTCGTCGATCAGGACGGGCCAGGCCCCTGAGGAGAGTGAGCAGAAGGGGAATATGTTAGAGGGAATATAAATAAACAAGATTTAAGTAGTGAAATCACGATTCAAGACATCAGAGATAAGAAAGTTAGATAAAAGGGTGGCCTTAAAGGAAGTGACTCTGCTGTAGATAGTTTTTAACGGCCTGCCAATTCTTTTGCCCGCCACTTGTCGACTTTCCTTCATTTTTTTTTTAGATTCACAACACACGCTATTGAGATATACCCAGTTCTTGCTAAGAGCTGTTTAGCTGCTGAAAAAATACAATTTTATACCTGTCAAACTGACTTATTGTTGGCCTTTATCATAGATTTAGCTTAAGAAATGTGAACTACTAGAAAATCTGGCTCATTTAAAGCAAAAGAAAGCAATTATTGGTGGCTCAAAGCATTTGCACAGTACTTCAAGTCACTTGTGCGCTGGCGTAGGGGCAGACAAAGAGACAACACCCTGAATTATTCGTATTTAATGTTACAACTGATGAGCTTTCAATGTGTTCACCGATCATCTTCATCCAGACTCGTTAGCTCACCTTCCTCATCATAGTTTGACATGTCGTCTGCAATCATATTGCCAAAGTCCAGGAGGAGGTTCCATGTGTCCCTGGGAATCGATCGTTTGTGATGCTCCTGAATGCAGCACAGCAAGAGGAAACGTTTGGAGTTTCATTGTGATCATAAAAAAATTTATTTATTTATTTTTTAAATTACAAAGGCAACAAACAAACAGCCTCAATTAAAGGTGACATAACTCTGAACTGTCAAAAATCAATGTGGGGGATTGGATTATTTCTTTTATATAGGTCAACAAGATGGACAAAGCATGCTTGAAATGCCAGGGAAATCGATTCATGCATGTCAGATACCCAAATGTCCCACTGATCCAAAAATGAAAAGAACGGGGAGACAACAGAACATCCCACACTCACCAGCAGGAAGCGGTTCCACAGATCCAGGAACTTGAACCGACCTGTGAGAACTAGATTCCAGTAAGCCACGGCCATCTCCAGGTCTAGAAAGCAGAAAATCTGTTTAAGGGTGGATGCGTCATGTTTTTGATTAAAAACAGTGTTTTCCCTACACACTGTCATTCTTACCTAACCCCTTCTGGCCTGGGTTCTTGGCAAAACTGAAGGTAAACTGGTAGAAGTCTTTGAACTTTCCTGAGTCTTTCAGCTCCTGCTCTAGTCTGGGAAGAATGGCCTTAAGCTTTTCAGGGCTGTCGCACCTGTAGGACATGATGATGATGTAAAGTCTGAAATATGAAACCTTAAATACTCGTATGACTCGTCTTACAGAGACAAACGGCACAGTACATACACTCATATGTCAGAAATGCAGTACAGTTAATCACAAAACAGATTTCAAAGCCAGTTACTGCTCACCCTAGCTCAGCCATGCCATCCAGGAACTCCTTCCTGCTGAACTCGCACTGCGTGGCTGCTCTGAACTTCCACGCCACCACCAGTATGCTCATGCTCGCCGGATCTAGAATCAGGTCATCGCAGAATTGCTGGATCCCGTCGATGCCTATCTTGTTCTCATCCTGGGGATCTACAACAAAAGCCGAAAATAATGAGCGCGACGGGATGAGCGGATCGCTCCGATTTCAATCCCTGACACCTGCCTTTGTATCTGTTGTAGAGCTGCTCCAGCTTCTTGCGGTCCACTGAGGTTTTCATGGATTCTTTGTAGTAGAGGTCTGGGTTCTGGAAGTAGTTGTCTGTGGCGACTTCTAGTTTCCAGTCATTCTGTGCCAGGCAGTACACAGCTGTCCTTTCGCCTGCCTGCGTGAAGGACATAAACTGCCGAACTTTGTCCTTCTGTGATGACTTCAGCTTGTGCTGGAAAGTAAGGAGGGATGCAGGTGAATGCAGGGGCCAAAATATAAATGAAATAGGAAAGAGTATCAAATGTGATAAGGTAAGATAGACACGGGTAGGGATGGGTATCGAAACCCGGTTCTTGTTGAGAACCGGTTCCCACTGTTTCAATTCCTTG